TAATGGATTTGGGGTTTTGAGAGTACTTTATGTGCTTTGTATATGTGTATGTCACTCATGTATCTTCTAATATATTGAGGTAGACTGATTGTTCATTGTTACTTATCTGTCACTCATGAGATTTTAAGCAAAGAGTTGAATATTATTTATTGGAAGTGTAATATTATGTTTTGGTTCTTGTCATTGGTTTGTGATTGTTTTTATCACTGAGGTGATTGTGGGAGATGAGAGAAGATTCTCATATCTAGAGGGTCCTAGGTAGAAATTGCATAAGATAATGATTAAGTGATAAGTTGTAAACTGAGATTGTTTAGACTTTGAACTAATACTATTATAGTGGATTTTCTTCCTGAATTGATAGTCCTAACATATGTGATGTTGCACTGAACTGAGTTAACAATTGATTGTGCCTTTTACCTTCTGCAATTTAATTCTACATATTTCCATTTTGATAAAATTATTCTGCCAACAGATAATGTCTTAACATTTATCTTGGCATTGTATTTTAGTATTAGAACACCAGCCTTGATATCTATTTTAAAGTATCAGAATTTTAATTAATATAATAAACCACTACGATAACACATATATTCACTAGTTAATGTGGATGCTATACAAATACTAGTTTCATATACTCTGACATATATTTGTTTAAGTGTAGCATTTCATTAAAAAAATATTTTCTTAAAGTGTCATTTTCAAAAATTAAAATAACATAATTATAATTTTATCATAGTAATTATTTTTAATTGTTTACTATATAAAAAAAGAGAAATTTTTTAGCAATAACTATGTTTTAAAAAAAACACAAATAACCATGTTTCAGAGAAAATTACGTAAATAACTATGTTTCAGAAAACATTATAATGTAGTAGCCATCTCAGATGGCGCATGCATTGCTTTTTTTAAAGGAGGAGCCAAGTGAGATGGCGCCTAGGTGCATGCCTTTTGCTCTAAGCCATCTCAGATGGTGCCTATATACAAAGTACTTTTTAATTTTTTTTGTTAAGAAATTAAAAGGCAATGTCGTTGCAAATGAAAGTTGATTTTCAATAATAATTAAATGATTACCTAATGAGAATAAAAATTATACATTATTTAATTGTCTTCAGGGACTCGATAACAACCCGTAGCTCCGCACCCACGTCTTCGCCTTACTCATGGTGCATTTCAACGTATTTCCTGTTGCGGTTAGGTCGAGGGCCCTGCGAAGTCAATGCGTTCAGGATCCATGAAAGTCGTCAGATCATCATATCTGTAAGATCCTCTTTCAAACACTCGGTTACCCATGCCCTCAAAGTTTGGTCGCATTGGTTGGGGGTGAGGTTCCATGAGGGGTCGATAGCATTGGTCGTCTGAATAAGGTGGGTAAAAAGGAAATGAATCTTGTGGGGTTTGGTACTGTGATTGTTGGGTGCTATGGTGATAAAATGGTTGATGGTAAGTTGGGTTGGTTGGTGAATATTCTTTAGGTTGGCCAATGTCTAGGCTAAGGTAAGACGATGAGGGGCCCACATCAGGATGTCAAATGTATGGTCGTTGTTCTTGGTACTGTGATTATGTGTGGGGTATGTGTGTGTATTGGTATTGATATTGGGTTTGGGGTTAGGTGTTGGTGGATCTGTATCATCGTTGTGTTTGGTGGGAGGTTGATGTGTGTTGGGTTTTTTGTTGGGGTTGTTGTTGGGGTTATTGTTGTGTGGTGTATGATTGTGCCCATTGTGTCTACGGGTCGATCAAATAGCTTGGGTGAGACACAACATTTCAGGGTTAGTAACCGATCTGTACCAATCAATATACTGATTTGTGTGTCGTATATTAATATGGTTGTGGAAAACAGGAAATTATAAGACATATTGGTGACACTTACGCCACATCTTACACCATTTAGGAGCGAAATCTTTCTAATTATTAACACTCCATTAGGCATTGAACCTTTTGAGATGCCAAGGTGACAAATAAGTTGGATCACATGGTATTTCTTGATGCATTCCGAATTGTATCTTGACACGACCGCTGTGGTGCATCTCCATAATGTTGAACCGTATATAGAAATTAGGAGGAGTCATACAAAGAACTACCGCACTACCTGCATACACTTCAGACGTATGCTCCTGGAACTGTTTATATCATGGAAACATTGTCGGCGTATGCCCCGAATGATACTTCTGTCAACGGAAATGGAATATTCAATCGACTGTTATGAGCTTTTCAACCTTGTATCATAGGGTTTGCATCTTGCAAACCTATTATTCAGATATATGGAACGTGGTTGTACGGGAAATACAAAGGCACGTTACTGATGGTAGTTGCACAAGATGGAAACAACAACATTTTCTCAATTGCCTTTGCTCTAGTCGAGGGAGAGACTGGTGGTGCTTGAAGTTTCTTTCTCAAGAATCTCCGAACACACATGGCTCTATAACCTGATATCTATTTGATCTCCGACAGACATGTATCTATTGAGAGTGCATATAATAATCCTGTAAATAGTTGGCATGAACCTCCTTCTACGCATGTCTACTACATTAGACATATGGTACAAAATTTCACGAGGGAGATCAAAGACAAGGCTCTTAGGAAAACAGTTATGAACGTAGGGTATGCATTATCACAACCTTCATTCAAACACTATCGCAACGAGATCAGATTGTCAAATCCGAATGCAGGTAGGTGGATTGATAATATTCCAGTGGAGAAGTGGACAAGGTAATACGATAATGGACAACGATGGGGCCACATGACAACAAATCTTATTGAATCAACGAACGGTGTATTCAAAGGAATACGAAACCTCATAGTAACCGATTTGGTGAAATCAACATATTTTAGGATGGCTTTGTTGTTTGCAAAAAGAGGTGAAATATGGAATGTGGTCTTACAATCGGGACAACTATGGAGTGAAAGCTGTATGAAATATATTAAGGAAGAAGGTGCCAAATCCAACACCCATCTTGTTATAAGGTTCAACCGACATAGCCACAACTTCATTGTTAAATAGACAATCGACCACAATGAGGGCTGCCAAGACAAGAGTATAAGGTTATACTACCATCTTATTGGTGCGATTGTGGAAAGTTTCAGGCCTTTTGTATGCCTTGCTCTCATGTCATTGCAGCATGTACGCGTACTCATCAAGATGCATTACTACTTCTATCTCTCATTTACAAGTCTAAAATCTTGCTTAGCGTATACAACAATGGCTTTCCAATGATAGCGAAACCTGATTATTGGCCTGTATACGAAGGGGAAATAGTATGACACAATAATCAAATGCAAAGGAATAAAAAGGGTCGTCCCAAAAGCAAGCGTATCACAACTGAAATGGACTCCCTTGATAAGCTAGAAAGAAAGTGTGGTTTATGCCATCAGGTCGGACACAATCAAAAAATTGTTCCACTCGTGCTACAAGCTCGAAAACATAAAAATTGTATGCAAACTATCTGCACTTTTTTAAGATCTAAACGTAATTTTTTTTCATTAAGAGCATTTGTTACAACAAACCATACGCAAATAAAAAATAAAAACACATCACCACCATTACGATAAAATACAACATATAAATATAACATCAACAACACGATAAAACATCTAAGAAATTACAACCATTAAAATAATTTCATCTGAGCCATGCATCAACACCATTACGTCTCTGTCTGTTTTGACTTCCTCCAACTAAGATTGAGGTCTTCTAGTTGCAAGTGAGATGGTTGTTCTTCTTTTCTGGATCCTTCTAATTTGTTTCCCAGCTTTGATGTCTCCCTCTAGCCATCACATCAACTCTCTCTTCAGACGCTCCATGGAGTGAATGTGCCAAAATTTCATTTTCATCGGAGGTTTAGTGACTGAGAAAATAACGTACCTATCTCTGGTGAAAATCATGGGAGATGTCATGATGCAAAAAACATAGAAAAAATGAGAAGAGAATGTGAGAAAGTATGAAGAATGATAGAGAAATGAGTGTTTTATTTATAAAAAAAACACAATTGCACGTAGTAGCCATCTCCGATGGTGTCTCCTCCCCATATTATAGTGTATGCACCATCTCACATAGTTAAAAGAAAGTGTATGCGCCAATTGAGATGACGCCTAAGACAAAAAGGTGAGTGCATGCGTCAAGTGAGATGACGCCTAAGACAAAAAGGTGAGTGCATGCGTCAAGTGAGATGACACATTCATTGATGTATATTCTAAAACATGATTATTTGCATAATTTCATCTGAAACATGATTATTTATGTATTTTTTTAATATTTAATTATTGTTAAAAAAATTTCAAAAAAAGAATTCAAACACATTAAGGTAAATTCTTTAATATTCATGTGTTTAAGTTGAATATCAATATTTGTAGTGTAAATATATTTTAAAATTTTAATTTATTTAAAAATAAAATAATATTAGAGAATAACATGAAATTAAATATTATTATTTTATAGATGACTATATCAATATCCAATTAAATTTAAAATGTTAGAGTGTTCACCATTAATTAGTAAAATTTTAAAAATATTATAGATAAAAGAACAATTATTATTTAAAAAGTTATAATATTTATTAACTTTTTAATAGGTTTAAAAAGTAAAATAATACACTTAAAAAACAATTAATTTATCTAGAATATTATGGATAAAAGAACAACTATTGATTAAAAAGTAATAATATTCATTAACTTTTTTAATAAGTTTAAAAAGCCAAATAATACACTTAGAAAAGCTAAGAGAGTAATATCTTAAAGTTTAATATATATATTTTCTATATTTTAAAAATTTATTTTATTTCCTTAATTTAAAAATGATAACTTTATAACAAATTTGTTTTAGTGATAATAAGACAGAGATACTAAAAAACATGAGAAGGAGGAGAATAATGCATTAATATAAGATTAGATGATTTGTGGTTGTAACATATAGACAACTGACAAGACAAGAGACTCATGCTTACTATATAGTCCGGTTACTGTTTCAATTCCTTTCTTACAAAAACCAAACTCACTCTATTTTTATGGATTCTCAATCCATACCTTCGTCTTCTCGAAATCCCTCTCAGGTAAACCTTTCGTTTGACCTATCTTTTACTTCAATTCAACACAGTTTCTCAGATTTGGGGATTCCAATAATTGTACCATGTTCCATGTGTTTTCAACTTTACCATACTTTTGTTGTTGTTGTTGTTGTTGATTTTTATGCAATAGCGTAGTAGAGGTGTCTCTGGTTCATGAACTACATCGAACCAAACCATATTCTGGTGTGAGTTTTTATGAACTGCACTGAACCAAACCATATTCTGGTGTGAATTTTCATTGACAGATATGATTCGATTGTTCTTCTTTAGTGTTGTTTTTTCCAACTAAGTTGAGTAAATACTCATTAGTGTAATTTATGAATTTAATAGTTGTGGATGGAAACAATTTGGTTGAAAGGGAGCCAAATTCGAATTCGAATGGGCAATCTCTCGCAGTCACACTCAACACATCGGTGTCGGGCGGTTAGATTGAGATTGAACTGTCCGAGTTTCAAGCACGGTATTTTTGTTTTAAGAAAAATCAAAATTTGCTTTGAAATTTGGCCTATTCCATCTCGATTTAATGAATACGAGGATTGCCAACTGCAGGCAATTTGAATTTCGAGGGTAGACCTCACTAAAGGTGACTAGCCAGATTCTCCGCAAAGATTAGTCATTTGCAAAGCCGTTGGCCATACTTTGCGCAAATAACACAGTTAGAGAAAAAAATATCATCTCACTATTGGTCTATGAAGCACTGGCGCAGACACCGACATGTCGACATTGGTAGTAATTTGAAAAATTAATAAATTGAACATAATCAAAATGCCTTTGTTCCGAGGTGTTGGTGCGTAAGAGCTATTGATTCCTTTGGATTTTTACTATTTTTGGTTTCTACTTGCAATATTTTTTTTGTATTGTCTACTTATCGGTGTTGTATATGGCAGAGAGCCAAAATCCCACCATACCGGCCGCTTTGCTGTGTCGTCATAGAGTATTATGACAGAAAAACTTGTAATATTAGCCGATATTTTACCATTGCAAAGAGCCCAAAACTGCCATGTATATCCGCCATAGCACCGCCGTACCGGCCGCTTTGCGGCGTCGTTATGGAAGATTATGGCGGAAAAATCCGCAAGATTGACGGATGTTTACCATTGCGGAGAGCCCAAACACTGCCACGTATATGTCATAGCGCCGCCATGGCCGATATTTGATAACAATGCTACGTATAACTTTTGTCCAAATTATTATTCAGTTAAACAATGAAATTTTTTTATTTGTTTCGGGTTTCTCTGCAGTTATCATGGATGAACTTGTCTAGGAATTTATTGTTAGCATATCAAAGCTTTGGTGTAGTATATGGAGATCTAAGCACATCACCTCTCTATGTTTATACAAGCACATTTAAAGGAAAGTTGAAGGATCACCATGATGAAGAAACTGTCTTCGGTGTTTTTTCATTGATTTTCTGGACTATTACATTAATACCTTTGCTTAAATATGTATTCATCATATTGAGTGCCAATGATAACGGTGAAGGTATTCAACTGATGTCTATTTTCCCTTTCAATTTATTTTTCTAGTCGAAAGATTATGAACCAAATGTTTTGATTATGATGCCAATATTGTCAGGTGGGACGTTTGCTCTCTATTCACTTCTCTGTAGGCACGCCAAATTTAATTTGCTTCCCAATCAACAAGCAGCCGATGAGGAGCTGTCGTCCTACAAATACGGTCCCTCATCGCAGACCGGAGCCTTGTCTCCACTCAAGATGTTTTTGGAGAAGCACAAACGGTTAAGAACAGTCCTGCTTGTTGTCGTACTGTTTGGTGCTTGTATGGTCATAGGCGATGGTGTGCTTTCACCAGCTATTTCAGGTAAAAGGTAGTCTTGTAGCCGGAAAATTTGGAGAGTCGATTTTTGTATAATCCTAGTGTCACAATGCAAATACAACTTTGTGGAAATCACCCGCACTCCCGAGTTTAATGCTCAAATCAACTCCTTTAACTTGTTCATCGTTAATAAACTTTTCATAATTGTGATAGAAATTGGTTCTATACAAAATAACTGGGAAGTTCTGCGATACTATTTTGTAATCAGTTGGTTTCTATCAAATTATCATGATTTTGATACGAAATTCACTATTATTTTGCCTCTTACCCTACAGTTCTGGCATCGGTATCAGGGTTAAAAGTTACGATAACGAAATTCAATAATGGTGAGCCAATTTTCATATGTTAAAGATGTTTCGGTTCATATCATTGCTTATGAATTTCTCCTATAGTGATAAATATTATATCACCATAGAAGTTTCATATTGTTTTCAGGTGAACTTGTTCTTCTAGCATGTGTCATATTAGTTGGCATGTTTGCTCTTCAACATTGTGGAACACACAGAATTGCATTTATGTTTGCACCCATCGTAATCATCTGGCTTCTATCGATTTTTATTATTGGGATCTATAATACGATACTCTGGAATCCAAAAATAGTCTTTGCTATCTCGCCGCATTATATCATCCAGTTCTTCATCAAGACTGGTACCGAGGGTTGGATTTCTCTCGGAGGGATACTTCTCTGTATCACTGGTATGTTAGTTCTCGTCTCACAAGAAGCCGAAGCTATGTTTAACACTGAGATAAGTTGAATGATTATGTTGTTTTTGCGTCTCACCAGGAGCCGAAGCTATGTTTGCAGATCTCGGCCATTTTACTGCTACGTCAATAAGGGTAAGCTTGTCGCTTCACTGAATTTGATGTATTTTCTACAACTAAGATAATTTTGTTTTACCTCTTTTGCATTGTGTTTACAAGAGATTTCCGAACTTTCTTTTTTGTACGCAGCTTGCATTTGCGGTTGTGATATACCCCTGTTTGGTAATGCAATACATGGGCCAAGCAGCTTTTTTGTCTAAAAACCTCAACTCTATACAAAATAGTTTTTACGACTCAATACCTGGTTAGTTTTTTCCGAGTTTCTGACTAGTTGACACTTGAAAACGATGCCATCGTTTTTTTTTTACTGTTTTGGCTTTTTGGCAGAACCTGTATTTTGGCCGGTCTTTGTTATTGCTACATTGGCAGCAATTGTTGGAAGTCAAGCTTCCATCACTGCGACTTTCTCCATCATCAAGCAGTGTCATGCACTCGATTGTTTTCCCCGCGTCAAAGTTGTTCACACCTCGAAACACATGTTTGGACAGATCTACATCCCAGAAATAAACTGGATACTTATGGTTCTGACTCTCGCTGTAACCATTGGATTTCAGGACACAACCTTAATCGGAAATGCTTATGGTAATGTATTTATTTTCGAACAATATATGTGTTTTTGCGTCGAAACCAGTGCTCATTTTTCCGGGTATTTGGTTGCAGGACTTGCTTGTATGACCGTAATGTTCGTCACTACATTTCTGATGGCACTAGTCATAGTCTTCGTGTGGCAGAAAAGCATTGTGATTGCTACACTATTCCTTTTGTTCTTTTGGGTGGTAGAAGCGGTATATCTATCGGCGGCGTTCCTAAAAGTGCACCAAGGAGGATGGGTTCCTCTTGTCCTGTCGTTCTTCTTTTTGGTCGTTATGTATGTATGGCATTACGGTATCCGGAGGAAGTACAAATACGATCTACACAACAAAGTTTCGTTAAAATGGTTACTAGGTTTGGGACCTAGCCTTGGAATTGTCCGTGTCCCCGGATTGGTCTCATCTACTCGGAACTCGCAACAGGAATACCAGCGATATTCACCCATTTCGTAACTAACCTCCCTGCATTTCACAAGGTTTTGGTATTTGTCTGCGTGAAATCAGTTCCTGTTCCACATGTCTCGCCTGAAGAACGCTTTCTGATTGGCCGAGCTTGTCCAAGACCGTTTCGAATGTATAGGTGCATTGTTAGATACGGCTACAAAGACCATTAAAAGGGACGACGGTGAGTTTGAGAACCATCTCATACAAAGTATAATGGAGTTCATCCAAATGGAAGCGGTTGAACCACAATTCTCAAGTTCCGATTCTTCTTCATTTGATGCGAGAATGGCTGTTATAGGTACCAGAAGCTTAGAATCAACTCCAACCTTGATTGCATCTGAGCAAGAAGATGTTGATATCGACGAAAGCATCCCTAGTAGCAGATCTATAACACTACGACGCTTGCAATCCACCATCGACGACGAGAACCCGCAAGTCAGAAAGCGTCGAGTAAAATTTCAAGTGCCTAACAATCCCGGGCTGGACAACACTGTTAAAGAAGAGATTCTAGATTTAATCCAAGCCAAGGAAGCGGGAATCGCGTATATAATGGGACACTCGTATGTGAAGGCAAGGAAATCATCGTCGTTCTTGAAAAAGATTGTGATCGACATGGATACTCGTTTCTGCGGAAGAATTGCAGGGGTCCGGCCGTGGCTCTTTA